TGGCCTTTCCAGGCTTCCGTACCGGTAACCTGATTATGGAGGAGGGGTTGGACTCACAAACAGGAAAAACACACAGGTGAAGCAGTGAATTAAAACACTAGTATTCCTAATGTTTTAATTCACTGCGTCACCAACTAATGTAGGAGGGAACATGAGAGTGAGTCACCACGGTAGGAAGCCCAGCTTGCTGTGGGTGAGGATCTGTGGCTGATGAGTGAAATCAAAAGAAAAACATTAGGGACTGAAGCTCCGTCAATACCAGCTGGCGACCGAGACGCGGCTGCGTTTCTAAATAAAGCATGTCATTTTGGCGGCGCGCACAGCTGCAGCTCACGGTTCTGAGAGAAAGAACCGGGCATGCCCGTCCCATCAACAGCAGGTGGAGCTCACCGCTCTGCCCATCTCACAACCAGAGCAGAAAAAAACCATTGGCTTGGATTATACAGATGGGATTTTGTGTGTGAATTAATGCCAGTTAAAGTATTACTTAAGTGTTTTTTGTATGCTTGTTGTTCAGTAGCTAATGCTATAATTAATATCATGGTTTTTTTTCATAAGCCCTACGCACTGTGCGTGATGCTCATTTGGGGAGCGCAGTCGCTGGTTTAGCATGAGAGATTGAAGGTGTGATGTGAGAGCATGTGAAGAGAGTCAAATGTGTGTTTCTTATGCTCAGTGCGTGAGAGTTGGCAGCCCCGGGCACATCCAGTTTCTGTGATGGAGCTGTCATGGGAACAAATCTACACTCAGAAGGGTTGATTGAAACAGTACTGTACTGAGCTGTTTCAGGCTGAGTAGCATTCCTCTAAAAAACACCTTTTCCGCTTTTGTATTCCACAACACACATGAACTACAGTGTGTAATACCTAGGTCCGACCAGTAGATGGTAGAAAAATACAGATGCTTTAGGCTCTGTTACAGCAGTTGTAGAAGTCTGACAGCTCACAACATCTGAAGAAGAGAATTCCCTAAAAACTTCAGGAATTTTGCATTTCCACACGATGATCACATCCTTCCTTTTCCGCGTAGCTGCTTCGGCACAAACCAGCTCAAATGTAAAGTTTGATGATGGTGGGAAGGATTATTAAATATCTAAATGAATTCATGTAAAGATCAGATGGGATTTTCCACCCAAAACTGAAATTTTTGTCTGTTGACATATTTCCCATATTTCTGCTCAGTGACCTAAATAATCAGACTGACTGCAAGTGACAATAAAATATTTGCAGTCAGTCTGATTATTTAGGTCACCAAGCTGAACTGGGATTGCTACTGAGTGATTTTAAGGACCTGTGTTTACTCACAATGCTAGTTGGACCCATTCACTTGCTGTGTTTTATGCTAAGCTAAAGCTAAAGGAGTACAGCCGGGTCAGGAGAACAACTCCTCTGGTTAAAAATTGTGCCACGTATTCAACTCTGGGAAATAAATTAACAGAAAAAAAATTGAATGTGGGTTGTTGAACATTAGATCCATTTTTTCTAAGACTTTGTTAGTTAATGACTTGATTTGTGATAATCAGATCTCTTTGCCCTCTCTCACAGAATCCTGGCTGCAGCAAGAGGACTATGTTAGCTTAAATGAGTCGACTCCTTCAAATTATTTAAATAATCATATTGCTCGAAGTACAGGGCGAGGAGGAGGAGTAGCAACCATTTCTCATTCGGACTTATTAATCAGTCCCTTACCAATTAATAGCTACAGTTCGTTTGAACATCTTACTCTTAGTTTTCCTAATCCAGATGGCAAAACTGTAAAACCACTCTTGTTTGTAGTTCTATATCGTCCACCAGGCCCTTACTCTGAGTTTTTGGATCAGATCTCTGATTTTTTATCTGATTTGGTGCTAAATACTGATAAGGTCATTGTAGTGGGGGATTTTAATATTCATGTGGACATTGAAAATGATAGCCTCAAAGTAGCCTTTAGTAATATCTTAGACTCGATTGATTTTACTCAAAGAATACATAGCTCCACCCACTCCTGCCATCATACATTAGACCTTGTGCTGACTTATGGCATAGAGTGTGAGGAAATAACTAACTTTCCACATAATCCAGTCCTCTCGGACCACTTTCTGATAACCTTTGAGTTTTTTATAACTGAGTTCTCTAGACATGAAAGTAAATTTCACTATAGTCGGTCTCTATCTGACAACACTGTTGCATCTTTCAAATCAACTGTTCTATCTTTACTGTCCTCAGCATCTCGGAGGCATGTAGCAGAGGGCAATAATTTCAGTTCTAGCCCCTCACAAATTGATGCCTTAGTTCATCATGTTAATTCATCTTTACGTGTGGCATTAGATAATGTTGCCCCTTTAAAAAAGAAGGTAATTAGGGACAGGAAGTTGGCTCCCTGGTTTGATTCTCATTTACGAGCCTTAAAACAAAACTCTAGGAAATTGGAGAGAACATGGCAGTCTACGCACCATGAGGAGGCCTACCTATCCTGGAAAAATAGTCTTGTGCTTTATAAAAATAAGCTTTGACAAACTAGAACTGCTTATTTCTCAGCGTTAATTGAGGAGAATAAGAATAATCCTAAATTTCTTTTCAGTACAGTTGCCAAACTTACACAGAAGCAGAGCTCTGAACCATCTATTCCCTTAGCCCTCAGCAGCAATGACTTCATGGGATTTTTTACAAGTAAAATTAATACTATTAGAAACAAAATCTTTAGCATCCTCCCTAATGTGATTTCTTCTTCCTCAGTAAGTGAGGCAGCATCAGAGGTAACTGTAGAACCTCATCTGTGCTTGAACCGTTTTGATCCAGTTGAGCTTTCAGATTTATGAAAAACATTAGCTTCATCTAAACCTTCAACTTGCATTTTGGATCCAATCCCAACCAAATTATTTAAAGAAGCATTTCCTTTGGTTACTGCCCCATTCTAGATATAATCAATCTATCCTTAGTAAATGGATATGTACCACAGAATTTTAAGGTTGTTGTAATCAAACCTTCACTTAAGAAGCCTTCTCTGGATCCAGATGACCCAATGAATTATAGACCAATATCTAACCTTCCATTTTTATCCAGAGTCCTGGAGAAAATAGTGGCCACCCAAGTATGTGAGCATTTAAACACTAATGCTCTGTTTGAGGAATTTCAGTCTGGTTTTAGAGAGTATCACAGCACTGAAACTGCATTAGTGAGGGTTACAAATGATATTCTCATGGCCTCAGATAAGAATCTTGTGTCTGTTCTAGTCTTGTTAGATCTCAGTGCTGCCTTTGACACAGTTGATCACAATGTTCTTTTAGAAAGACTTGAACATGTTGTAGGGATCAAAGGAACAGCGCTAGGCTGGTTTAAATCCTACCTGTCTGACAGATTTCATTTTGTAAATGTACATGAGAAATCGTCTTCATACTCCAGGGTTACTTGTGGAGTACCACAGGGTTCAGTGCTTGGACCAATTCTTTTTACTATGTATATGGTCCCAATTGGTAAAGTCATTAGACAGCATGGGATAAACGTCCACTGTTATGCTGAAGATACTCAGTTATATTTATCCATTAACCCTGATGAACCTAATCGGTTGGGTAGATTACAGGCTTGTCTTGAGGACATAAAAAATTGGATGACTCTAAACTTTTTGCTTTTAAATCAAGACAAGACGGAAGTTCTCATCTTTGGACCAGAAATCCAGAAAAGGAACTTGCTTAGTCAATCACCTGACCTGAATGGCATTACATTAATATCCGAGAACAAAGTAAGGAACCTTGGTGTTATCTTTGACCAGGACATGTCATTCAAATCCCAGGTAAAACAGGTTTGTAGGTTTTCCTTTTCCCACCTTCTGAATATTGCTAAGATTAGGAGCATCCTTTCCAGGAGTGATGCTGAAAAACTAGTTCATGCATTTATTACATCAAGACTGGATTACTGTAATTCATTACTTTCAGGAAGTCCACAGAATGTAGTTAAAAGTCTTCAGCTTGTCCAAAATGCTGCAGCTAGAGTTCTAATGAGAATTACAAAGAGAGATCATATCTCTCCTGTCTTAGCTTCCCTACATTGGCTACCTGTTAAATTCAGAATAGATTTAAAGATCCTTCTTCTCACATATAAAGCTCTTAATAATCAAGCTCCATCATACATTAGTGATCTGATTGTTCCATACGTTCCTAACCGAGCACTTCGCTCTCAGACTGCAGGTTTACTGGTGGTTCCCAGAATATCTAATATAGGATGGGAGGCAGATCTTTTAGTTATCAGGCTCCTCTCCTTTGGAACCAGCTCCCAGCTTTAGTCCGTGAGGCAGACACCTTGTCTACTTTTAAGACTAGGCTTAAAACATTTTTATTTGATTGGGTCTATGGTTAAAATCTGATGTTAGCCTAAATCTGGACAAGAGGGGGAGTAGAGGGAGGTGGAGTGTTCAGACGGTAAAGACGGCTCTCCCTTGCCCTGCCTCCAACATGCCTCCATCTAAATAGGATAGATTATCCAGAGTTATCTCTGTAGTTATGCTGCTATAGGCTTAGACTGCTGGAGGATACACTGACCACTTTCCACACTCGACTACTTTCTTCTACAATCTGCTCTTTAACTGTATTATTTTCTGCAATTTCATCTGTTAACTTTATTTTCTCTGTAAGTGTTTCTCCCCAGAAGAAGCAACAATGATGTTCTGCTGAGCTGTGGTGGCCTCATGGAGGGGGCTATCGTCTAGCACACTGCTGCTAACCACTTAAACATTATCCCTCTCCTGATAATAACTTTTTGCTTTCCTTGACGTTGGATATGCTACTACTAGTTTATCCGTTTAATTATAGATTCACTAGGATAAATACAATAAAGTTCATCTCTCACCAAATAGAATATTTACTAAGAAATCACAATGTAACTATAGACACATTACTTTGGCGTGTGTGTGTGTGTGTGTGTGTGTGTGTCCGTGCGTGAGTACGTGCGCGCGCGCGCGCGTGTGTGTGTGTGTGTGTGTGTGTGTGTGTGTGTGTGTGTGTGTGTGTGTGTGTGTGTGTATGTGTGTGTGTGCTCTGTCTTCTCGATCCCAAGTGAGTCGTGGAGGATGGCTGCTTATACTGAGCCAGGATCCTCTGGAGGTTTCTTCCTGTTAAAAGGGAGTTTTCCTCTCCACTGTTGCTGCATGCTTGCTAAGTATGAGGATTGCTGTAGCCTAATGGCACAGACTTGATGCAATTTGCTGGGTTCCTTATAAAGGAAACATTATTTCTGATTGGCTTAATGAACTGACCTGAATTGAAATGTTTATTATGTGAAGTGCCTTGAGACAACTCTTGTCGTGATTTGGCGCTTTATAAATAAAATTGAATTGAATTGAAAATACTTTTTCACTGCTACATCTGAGGTCATTCATTTAGTTTAATGGTGGTTTAAATAAACAGGTCAAATGTGAGAATTTTCATGTCGTCAGTGTGTGTGTGTGTGCATTTCAAAACACTACTGAAGTCTGCGGCTGCTGTTTTCCACAGATGGAAGTGTGATTTGCTCAGCGTCGATCACAGCAACACTTTCCCTGACTCCATCCTGCACAGGAAGTTCCATTTCCCACCCCCTCACTAAAGCCAGAGCTGGTGTGTGTGTTTGTGCGTGCATGCGTGTGTGTGTGTCTTTGCACATGCTCACCTGTCTGTCTGTGTCTGCTCAGTGAGTGTGTGTGTGAGCATGCCGTTAGTGTTTTCAGTGAGCCGAGAGGGAGGAGCAGAAGGACGTTTGGAGTAGAAGCAGAACGTGCAGTGTTTCATATTACACTCATCAGCTGGGGAAAAGGAGGAGAGGAGGAGGAAACCTGAGGATACTTTTCTTCACGCAGACTTAGGCTGGAGTTTATGGAGGCTGCAGCTGTGGAAAATGATCTCCTCTCTGGTGTTTGCTTTCCTGACCCAAGCTCTGTTTGGAGGTAGGGAGCTGGTTCCTTTTGTCCTTTTGCTACACATAAAAACTTGTTGTTTGTACTTGTGTATTCAGAGACACTTTGCAGAAAACATTTACAAGTAAACATCTGTGGAAAGCTTCAGAAGCTTCAGTCTTGGATATTTTTTGAGCTAATGAGATGGGACTCTAAAGAAAATTGGAGGTTTTCCTTTGCCTTTTAAAGTCTTCAGACTCACCTGTTTTATTTAGAGTCAATTAGTGATTTTTTTCAGCTCTTTTCTGTTGCTCAAAACAAAAAAAGGACACAGCTGACCAGGAAGCTTTACTTCATTTGTGTGACGGTTAAATACTTTTGTATAATTAAAGGGGTAGATTGTGAAACTGCACAATTTTGGAAAAGAACGTGATTTTGTTATCGTCACGCAGAGGTTAGTGCACCAAATCTGCTCAGTGTGGGATGTGAAGACAGGTATTGAGGAACAATGCACCAAAACACATTATTAGCTTATGTTTTTATTACTGTGACCAATGGCATGATCATGAGTAAAGATGTTGTTGACTAGTTGGATTTACACAACTTAGAAAAGTATGCAACACAGTTTACATCTGTCTGAGTCAGATGGATCATGTGACTTAAACGATTTAGTCTTAGCCTCTTAGTTGAACCCCATCGGGTTAGAAAACAAATGCTCATGAACATCTAGTGGAATTTAAAATGATAATTGAAATCTTTCTTAAAGTGACAGTGTGTATTTTTCCTGGCGATAGGGGGCAGTAGATACTAGGGATGTCCTGATACAACTTTTTCACTTCCGATATGATACAGATATAGCAGCCTTTAGTATTCATTGATACAGATAATCCCATACGATATCAGCTAAATTCATACATACTTTTACATGTTTCGTAGTGTTGAAAGTATGAAAGGCTTAATCAAGTGATATTACTCAGTCGGAGAACAAGACCAGACAAGATTAAATAAGAAAAAAAATGTAAATATTTTTTAACCATTCGTTGCAAAAACATGAACATTAACAGATGGCTTATATTGGAGATTTTTTATGCAGTCCAATATAACCTCAAAGTGTTTTTGGGCCGATATCAAATTACTTTGACATTTATATTGGAACAGGACATCCCTAAATCATTGCACGCAAGCAGTATTTTTGTGTTGGAGTAAGACCTTCCCAACGGATGGCTATTAGGGTCAAAAACCCCTGGGGAGTGCAAACTTCAGCAAAATGACAAGAACATCAGACCTCCTTTCATCACTGGCAACGAGTGAAGAGGTAAACGTGTAAGACAACATTTATGAATAGTGAAGGTTTTGTAATCATTTGTTACTAATCAGTAAATCCATTTTGTCCTCATGGGCTTCCGTAGAAGGAAAGATGGCATCTACTATGGCATCGCCCAGAGACTTAGACCGGCTCCCATGTATTTTAAACCTATGCTTATATGTTACAAAGCTGCCAATATTTGTCAACAACTGTGCATCGTTTAATTAATTTTCAACAACATTTTGATGGATATTTCCAGAGATTGATGGTTAAAAACTACACACTGTCTCTTTAAAACTAAAAGCAAAACTTTACAAAATTTTAAGGAAAGCCAAGTCTCTGTGAATGAGAACAAGTTGAGCATAAAGAAACCAACGTCCTCATAAGGGGGCAAATATAGCTAATGTTATTTCTAAATATGTAAATATTTTTAATGTGTTTGAGGACGCAGCCTCAATAGTTTACTTTGCATTTGTTTCATTTAGAGAGGAGTGACATGATGAAGGATAGGGAACATGCTGTGTTCAAAATAATAGTAAACAAATGAAAGTAACAGGTCATCGGCATACTGTGGCAGCCATCTTGAATTGGGTTACACTGTTGAACCAAAAGCGGAAAGCCAGGATAACATAACTGACCACATTATTATCAAATGCTTGTAATCAAATGAAAACCAACACATCCACCTGGATTTGTTTACCAATAATAAAAAACTTCACAATAATTATGGAGGATTTCTACCAACCAACAGTATACAGCAGCCTCCCTAACTGTATCTTCTTTCTCCAGATTTGTGTTGGGCCATCAATGCCACCATCACTCCCTCACCCTTTACAATGGCCCAGGAGGGTCAAAATATCACTCTGACTTGTGTCGTGTCCCAGCGACGCCGCAACACAGCCTTACCTGTTGTCAAGTGGACCTTCCTGCCGGCTGACACAGATCGGCTGGAGGACGAACTTCTCATCGCCCGTGTCAATATGAGAAAAGCCCGTTTCTATGGTAACTACACAAAGAGTTTCCCATGGCCCAAGCTAAAGCTCACGGTGGTGAAGCAGGGCAAGATCTTTGAGCTGCTCATACTGAACGTGTCCGAGGGCGACCGAGGACTCTACATGTGCCGCGTGCAAGAGTTTAAAAAGCACCAAGACCGCTGGAAGGCCTCCTCCAACTTCACAGCAGCCACTGAGCTCAGAGGTGAGGCCTTCAGGCTTTCACTGTCTTCCTACACTGATGATTTATTTTAAATGGGAGCCAGAATTTTGTTCTGAAAAAGTAAAAACAGTTTTCTAAGTTAGGGTTAAAAAAACCTGTTGAAAACCATCCTATAAATAAGTAATCAAAGATCTATGATCCAGCGTCCCAGAGACCTAAAATGGGCCAAAACTGTTTCTCTTAGAGGACCAATTTTTTGGTCTTCAGAAGTTGCAGTTTCTGACCACAATAGGTGATGTCATCCATCTGGCTGCAGAAGCTGCCCAGTGGTTTCCGTGAGCTAGAGCAACCCTCTGCTCTTCATCTGGGAGGGGAAATGTCATTGGTTAGGACCGAGCCAGGAGATAAAAGGCTCCTGTATCCCAAAATGCAGTGGTGCTGACTGAAGAAAGGATCTTGGAAAAAGCGTAAAGTATCTGAGGTTTCTGTGCCACGGCTGGCAGGAGAGATGTTAACACAACGGAATGGATGACACATCCACTGGTTCGGGCTAATGACGAGAAACGATTCTAAAACAGTAACATTTCCTAAAAGCTTTGAGACATTTTTTTTATTTAAGGATTCACAGTTTAAAAAAACACTGAAGGGATCATTTTCTAAAATGAATTACTGATCAGCTCCATTTTCCCTTCTTTATTTAAGCAACTACTTTTAATTCTAAATATGTAAACATAAGTCCAAACGGTAAAGTTTATATATATGTTGGGAGTCAAAAGTAAAAGTTTAGAATGGAAATGTTGAAGTTGAATTTGGTTGTTGATAAAATATTTAGTTGCCTGCGGTGATACAGAAGTTCTCCACTAAAATAAAAGTGAGGTGAGGAGATGCCCTATCTGAGACTTCAGGGTTCTTCTGATTGTAAGCATGTGTGATGTTATTGATCGGCCGGTGTTTGTGGTTTCTCCAGGCCCTTAGATGGTTAAACAGATCCTCAGGAAGCTAAAACCACTGGGACTGTGGGTTAGATAGGGGATCCTGTATCTTCTTACTGAAGCTGTCATTAAGCACGCCCCTGCCCCGCAGAGTTCCGTGCAATAGGAAACTGAGCGCCGACCAGAACTAACCAATAGCATTAGACTACTGCTTATTTGCTTCAAATTTGAGGAATAACTCGGCTGATGCAGAGTTAATGAACTTTTCAAGGACAAGTAAGTCTCTAAAATATAAATATATGAGAACACAACATGACATGAGAATAATACTCATAAAACAGCGTGTTTTAGCAGTTTGTCGGCTACAGAAGCACATTTATAAACAGAAACGTGAAGTTGCCATCTTAAAAAAACGGAAGGAGTGTGATATGCTTGTCAGCCACTAGATGGTGCCATCGGATAAGAGAAATACTCCGTAAAGAAGCTTTAATGTAAACATTTCTACAAACATTACTTCATCATTTGTTTTGCATCACACAGCTATTTGCAAAGACTTGTATTTATTAAGAAACCAGCTACAGAGCTATCTGTAAAACCTTAGGGTCACATCAGGTGATGCAAAAATCAGATACGCAGATCCAGCCCTCAAAGAGGAGAGATTAGTCAAATTTTAAGACACTGCCTAGCCCCCAAAAAGTCGCCACCAAAACAAAAATGTCACACTAATATTTTGTTAGACTACTTTTAGCTTTGGTTACGGCATGCATTCGCTGTGGCATTGTTTCGATAAGCGCTCTGCAATGTTTAGATCAGAAGATGTATTTCCATAGCCTGACCTGTCAGACTCTTCCTATGTTAAATTCTGCACACAGGCGCCATTTTTGACTACATCTAAAAGACTGCAGCGCTGCGCGGTACAGTCAGCATTTCCGCATTTTTCTGTTTGAGCTGGTTAGTCCCGCCTCTCGTGTGCCTCTCTGCCTTTGAGTAACCAGACGTACTCTGCTCAGCGCTGATCGGCTCGGTTAGAAATCTCGGGGGGTGCAGTTTTTGCATGGGAGAGTTACCAGACTCATTCTCTGCAGAATTAAATAGAGGACAAGTCTGGCAGGCCAGGCTGGTATTTCCATCCAGTGTTGCATTAATGTTTCATCAAGATCTTGCACTGATGATGGTAGGGTCTGACTGCTGCACAAAGCCTTCTCCAGCACATCCCAAAGATTCTCAATGGGGTTAGGGTTAGGGTTATGGATTGGACTCTGTGGTGGCCAATCTATGTGTGAAAATTATCTCTCATGCTCCCTGAACCACTCTTTAAGCCCGATGAATCCTGGCATTGTCATCTTGGAATATGTCCGTGCCATCAGGGGAGATGGAATAATCCGGTCATTCAGTATCTTCAGGTAGTCAGCTGACCTCATTCCTGGAGCACATCCTGTTGCGACCTTACCAACTGCAGCAAACCCAGATCATAGCACTGCCCCCACAGGCTTTTACAGTAGGCTGAAATGAGAAGCAGCTCCTTGCACAGGTGGGGTTAAATAATCGCATTTCCAATGGAAAGATCATCGCCCATGCTGTGATTATCCAGTAGGAGACTCGTAACTATCTGCCTAGTTAAATCCTGGTGGCGTGTATTTTTGAAGCCTTTTCCTTTTCACTTTTGAAAAACATTCAACTTGTTGCGTCAGCGTCTTCACATGTAAACTGTAAGCAGAAAAATTTGTGACAAGTGGAGACTTCTGCCTTCTTTTTTCTGAGAGTGTCGTTAGGACCTGCTGGTCATTCCTGGGTATAGGACCTTTCCTTCCAGGAAAATGTAAGGAACAAAAATACGTGCTTTTCTTGATCAGTCCCACACTTAAAACCCGCTTTTCCACATAAAAATTACCACCACTTTGCATTTTTTCTCTTTAGCTTAGCCTGTTTCCATTTCCAGCTTCATGAGGTAGAGGATGTTAGCCGGCTTTGGAAAAGGGACAAAAAGTCTCGTCCGACATCCAATCTCAGTATCGAGTCTGATTAGCACCTCCCTTTGCAGCAGAGCTTAGTTCCTCACTGTTTGAAAATCTTAAGGAGATTTTAGGAGTTTAATCGTTTTTTTTTTTTTTTGCCACATGCTAATCTACAGTGCCCGTCTGGTGAAATTGAGGGGGAAAAAAACTCTAGGCCACAAGATACTTAATGCGTTCCCACGAGATATTAATACGCGGCCATAAGGTAATTAATGCATTCCCATGATATAATAATGTGTGGCCACGAGATACTTACTAACTAACTAACTAAAACTTTATTTATATAGCGCCTTCACATGGCCCAAGGACCAGACAAAGTGCTGCACAGCAGAAATAAGCATTTAAAAAATAAATAAAATAAAAAAATAAAAACATAAAACCAGCAAAAACCAGCAAAAACATGCAGATAAAATCTAGGTGGAGCAGCAAAAAGTGCAAAGCCAACAATTAACGGGACTCTTCCTGAATTAAAGCTAAAGAATAAAAGTGAGTTTTCAGACAGCTCTTAAACTTGTCGAGCGTGCTGGCCTGTTTAACCCATGCAGGTAGCTCATTCCAGAGCCTCGGCCCCAGCACCGAGAAAGCACGACCCCCTTGGGATTGTAGTCTGTGTTTCGAAACGACTAACAGTCCTTGTTGTGCTGACCGAAGGTTCCTTGCGGGAACATAAGGCTGAATCAGGTCTGACAGATAACGTGGAGCCAACTCATTTAAACATTTAAAAACAAACACCAGAACTTTAAACAAAATTCTATAGGAGACTGGAAGCCGGTGTAGGGATGCCAAGACAGGCGTGATGTGTTCAGATCTCCTGGTACCAGTCAGTAACCTGGCTGCCGCATTTGGACCTTCTGCAGTTTCTCTATGGAGGCCTGCTTGATGCCTGCATAAAGCGAGTTACAGTAGTCCAGTCTGGTGGTAATGAAGGCGTGGATGACAGTTTCCAGATGTTTACGAGATAGCAGCGGCTTCATGCGCGGGAACTGATTATTAACTCATGGCCACGAGTTATTAATGCGTTCCCACGACTTATTAATGCGTTCCCACGAGATACTTAATGCCTGAGAATGAGTCGCCACGACTTATTAATGCGTCCACACGAGATAGTTAATGCGTGTGAACGAGTTCCACAGCTCCATCCCATCGTGTGCTTGTAAATGAGTGGCCAGACATTAATATCTCGTGGGAAGGCATTAATAAGTCATGGCCACGAGTTAATAACTCGTTCCCATGCATTAAGTATCTCGTGGCCACGAGTTATTTTGTTTTCCCGCAATGTCACCAGACGGACACCGTACTAATCAGAATAGTCATAACACAACAATATTTTAGTTAGCATGGGACCTTTGCACCAGTGAGTCTCTACCAAGCCCCCACAATGCTGGGAATTTTATGAATCCATCATGGAAGTGGCAAAAATTGCAGTTCCACCGTCATCCACTAGGGGTTGGCAGCAGAAGTGAGCTAATCCCCATTGACTCCCATGTTAAAAATACCAGTTTCACAGCAGAAATAAACATGTTTACAGCCTGGTCATAAAACTGCTTTAGGTTTAATAGATCTAGTTTACAGTCATGACAACTCGGGGGTGAATTATTTAAACTTTTCTGTTGTAATGTAATTGTAGTGTAATCAAATGCTTAAAATTCGGAATAATTAATAAGTATCAGAGCTAGTGCTAGGAGCTAGCTCCGAGGAAGGGCCTCAGCCTGGGACTCCCGTTAATAGATGTTCTGCCATTTTGACTCTCTGAACTTAGTTGTGTCCTCTATGTGTTCGTGTTTTGACGTTAATCGTGGAATTATTTTGACAAAGATATATATATATATATATATATATATATATATATATATATATATATATGTGTGTATGTGTGTGTGTGTGTGTGTGTGTGTGTATGTGTACTGGACAATTCCTGTCCATAGGCTCGTATTATAAGTTTTTAATCTGAAATGGGAGGTGGCCACCACCGCCATTTTGATTTTGTCACACGTCTCGTCACGCCCAGACAATTCCATAGAAGGGAAAAGAGATGGAGCTGAAATTACGACACCCGTCGAACTGAAGCGATGTAGCTACAAGCTAACCCAAAACT